GGGAGGAGGAGCAGCGGCGGCGCTCGCTCGCTGTTGACGGGAGCGCTTTTGAGCCTGGGAGCCCATGTCACTGCGACCGGCGTGCCCGGGAACGGAGATCGCGCGCGCGCCGCATTCACGACGCGCGCGCGATCTTCGCGGAGTCGGGTCCCCAGAGGGAAGCGGTCTTTTCGGCCGACGTCCAGCGGCGCGCAAGGAAGCAGGCGCAGCGCGGCGGTGTCGCGCTGCATGGGCCAGCAGGGTGCAGTGGCGAGGGGCGGCGGGCTCGGACGTCCACCGAGTCGCTCCGCGCGGCAGGCGGAGCGCGCGCGCGGGCCAGGAGGCTCTCGGCAGGCTGAAGAGGACATCTGCACTTATTGCGTGGCGGGCGGGACTCCACTTTGTATTCGGCACACGCCTCCCTACCGGTATAAATACCGAGTATTCGCCTTGTACCCAGCGCTGGCTTCTACTATCGCGGCTGTCTCTCCCTTCTCGACTGTCTGTGCTTGTGCGTCTTGCTTGGGTTCGGGGTGTTGTCCCATGCGGACGATTGGAGGCCTCGTCGACTACCTGCTCGTAGTCGCCGTGCAGTCCTTCATGCTTCTCCAGGTTGGTTTCTTCGACGCCATACGCCGCCTCCTCGGAAGGCTGAGGCCTCCGCCGCCGCTGCATTCGCCAGCCGCCACGCTGCCACCCCTCCGCACCGTGTCGGTCGTGCTGCCCACCTACAACGAGGAGAGGAGCATTCGGCACTGCCTCGACGCGCTGCACCACGGCGCGGCATCGCTCGACGATGTCGAGGTCATCGTCGTTGACGGCGGCTGCCGCGACCGCACGATGGATCTTGTCGCCGAGTGGTCGGCGGCACACCCGCGGCTGCGGCTCCTGCGTGAGACGTCGCACGGCGGGCGCGGGCCCGCCGTCCGCGCCGGCGTGCGGCACGCGACGGGCGACGCCGTGCTCGTCCTGCACGCCGACACGGCTCTGCCAGCGCTGTGGGATGCGCTGCTGCTTCGCTCGCTCTCCGACCGGGCGGTGCTGATGACGGCCTTCTCGTTTCAGTGCGACCGCGCTCAGCTCGCCGAGGCGCACTCGCCGCCCGCGGGCCTCGCGCTGATGGAGTGGACTGTCAACCTGCGCTCGCGCTGGTACGAGCTGCCGTTCGGAGACCAGGCGCTGGCGACGACACGCG